GCATTTTTTGTAAATGGCTTATACCAGTGATTTTTTAAATAACTCAAAGCTCCGTCGCCCACCTGGAACAATTCCTGCGCACGGGTCTGCTGGTTGGTCATAAATGAGGAATCATTTAGAAATTGCTAAATTTTATTATGTTCTCTGCAGGTATCGGAAATGATTAGCAATGATGTAATTCAAATGAAATTGACGTCGGTAAAGAGTTCGTAATTACACCGTGCGACAAAAACCAAAAATTTTAAAAACTCACGAAAACGTCAATATATTCACAAAACTAGCAGCCAAATTTAGTATAACTGCATTTTTAATTTTTCTCTCTGACGTCAGGATTTTTTTTTAAGTGCTTTGAAATTTCTGGGATATGATGGAATAAAAAAATAATTTAAAAGATTTCGTGCACTGTAGAGTAACAATATGGGTATCAATTAAAAGGAAAAATTCGGTAGAATTAAAAAAAATAATATATTTTGGTGCACCAGGACGAATAAGTGTTGAAAATGTCATTTTAAAACTTTATCCTTGAATATCCTTGGAAATTTCCCATATTTATTTTTGAAAAAAATATATATATCAAGGACTAATATGTAAACCGATTTTCAAAAAATTGATATCGTTGTAAATGCAATCAAACCTCCTTTCTTCTGATATATAAAAATTTTAGAAAAAAACACCTAAACGGAAAAAACACTTTTTTTTATAAAAAAATATTTTAAACAAAAAACAAAAAAAAAACGGTATCTTTGTAAAGGCGATTAAACGCCCTTTCTTCTGGTATGCATATTTGTATACTTCGTATATAAAAATTTGAGAAAAAACACTTAAAATCAAAAAAATTCCTTTTTTTATAAATAAAATATTAAAAAAAATTACAAACAGATTTTAAAAAATTGCCAGAAAACTTATACGTTCTGAAATCCAAAAATTTCTATTTATATAAACAAAAAAAATTATTAAAACTGTTCTTCCCTCTATATAAATTTTACTACATTTGGTCCCCGTTTTGTGAATATATTGATTTTTTCGTGTGTAAAATTTACTGTCGCACGGTATTATAGATATAGATATGATTTATGCGGTTCTCTTTTTTAACTTCTCTGTCGTATGCGTTTTTTTTTTTAATTTTGCAGAAAAATTTACAAGGGGATTGCGATCAGCTTCCTCCTTGTCCACCTTATGACTTATCAAAGTTTGCCAGATGCAATCGCAAAAAGAGCGATGGCAATTTTGTGAACGAAGTACTAGACATACGCTTTACAAAAGAAGAATTAAGAACTAGCTCATGGACTGGGACAACTGCAAACCTGCACAAATCAAAAAATATTGATCCCAAAAACGAAATTAACAAAACAAAGATTGCCATTGCAGTAAGTGTGAAGACTAAATTTACTGTAAAATAAATTTCGAAAACGAATACTATAGATATTAGAGCTGGGATACTATCGATAGTACCGCCACTCGATAGTTTTCGAAACGATAGTTGAAAACATCGATAGTATCCGATAGTACTATCGTCGCGAGAGGTATTGACTTTAAATGCTAAATTGCTTGAAAATTAAATAACGAATTTATAAAATTTATAAATTACTTTGTAAATTAAAGAGATTATATAAATTTGTTTAAATTTGAGTGCATCTAAAATAACTTTCTATATACATATACATATAATATACATATGTTTGTCCCTTTTGAAGTGCAAATAAGTGAAATTGTCTATAATAATACATTTCTAATACTACAAAACAAACAAAACAAAAGATATTCATTTAAATTGACAACTCATGCTTAAACAAGTTCAACTGAGATCAAATACGGAGGCGCATATCAAAATCCGGACGAAGGAAATTATTAACATTACACTATATTATAAGAAAACGAATAAAGTACTGGTCAAAGTAATAGCACCACAGCATTTTTAGCAGTTTTTACTATTTTTTTGTTTGTTAAGTGTCTACTGATGTTTAATAAAAGTTGTACAAAACATAAAAAACTACAAAGTCATTAAAATTTCAAGCTTTTTAATTGGAATTTCTATAAAAATTTTTTGTACGTTGTTTTATAGCTTATTAAATTTTACTATAACTCAGTGTAAGCTTATATTTGCTAAAAATTCCAATAACTAAAAATTTTTGTTTGCCGACTGTATTGGGAATTTGCTTGGATGAAAAAAATGAATGTAATGTAATTAATGTAAAATAATATTATAGTTAAAAAAACTAAAAACACGCTTTTATTACAACAAGAACTAAAAAGTATAAAATAATTTGTAGATATAGCGATTCCGTTTAAGAAGAATAGGAAGTTCCCTAACCTGATTTAATTTAACTGTTTTAAGTTAGCTAAAAATATGATTAAAGTGATTGATCCGTAGTTATAGTCAAAATAAAGTGCACTGTAAAGTTAGTTGCAGCTTTTTGGCATAACTTTCAATGGGGTGTCTGTAAAAAAACTGCAACAAACTTTACAGTGCACTTTATTTTGACTATAACTACGGATCAATCACTTTAATCATATTTTTAGCTAACTTAAAACAGTTAAATTAAATCAGGTTAGGGAACTTCCTATTATTCTTAAACGGAATCGCTATATCTACAAATTATTTTATACTTTTTAGTTCTTGTTGTAATAAAAGCGTGTTTTTAGTTTTTTTAACTATAATATTATTTTCTACTTTTTAGTCTTTTGAAATCTTGAAGTTCAATTTCAATTTAAATAGATAATACACCTATTCTGAATATAAATCAAATTTGAGCACAGATGCCGAATTTTTAATTATATAGACTCACGCGCCACATAACTGCCAAAATTTTTTGTGTAGCTATTTCTTTTCATGTAAGCAATATGCATTCTAAATGTGAACTTAATCGGATCATAAATACGGGTTTTCCAAATATCTCGACTCCTGCGCCACCTGTCGGCAAGATTTTTTGTGGATTTATTTATTTTCATATAAGTCATATATGTTCTAAATATGAACCACATCAGACTATAAATGCGGGTTTTACAGATATCTCGACTCCTGCGCCACCTATCGGCAAAATTTTTTTCGGATTTATTTCTTTTCATATACGTAATAAATGTTCTAAATACGAACCAAATCAGACCTTAAATGTGGGTTTTACAAATATCTCGACTCCTGCGCCACCTGTCGGCAAGATTTTTTGTGGATTTATTTATTTTCATATAAGTCATATATGTTCTAAATATGAACCACATCAGACTATAAATGCGGGTTTTACAGATATCTCGACTCCTGCGCCACCTATCGGCAAAATTTTTTTTCGGATTTATTTCTTTTCATATACGTAATAAATGTTCTAAATACGAACCAAATCAGACCATAAATGTGGGTTTTACAAATATCTCGACTCCTGCGCCACCTAGCGGATTAAAACATCTTTTAAATTGTATTGTCCTCGAGTTCTGAGCTAAGTTTGAAGTTTCAAGTCTGTAGCTCATCGGGAAGTTTGTTAAATATTGACTGCAAAGTTCCAGGACATACATACATACATACATACATACATACAAGTGAAGTTAAATAAAAGCTTGTAAAAAGAGATGTAAAGAGAGAAGTTTCGTTAAAACCGACATCGATAGTTTTCAAAAACTATCGATAGTGACGACAGCTTTCAAGTATCGACACTATCGATAGTATCCCAGCTCTATTAGATATTGAATTTTCAGATCAAGTATTCAAGAAGTTGGAAATGAATTACGAATCTGCAGTGGACTTCGTAAAAAAAAGTGTCAGCAAAAATGCAACAATGCTGTGCCACAAGACCTTTGCGTCAAAAAGGAACAAGGAGACGAAAATGAAGGCGGTGAAGAATCTAAGAAAAGTTGAGCTTCTAAACTCCGTAAACTTTGGGAATTACACGTAATTATACATTTTTCCTACTAATAAAACGAATTATATTATTTTATATATATAATTTATTTGTGGCACTAATGAACACTAATGGCCCTAAGGAACACTAAGGATAACTGATAGCGAACAAACTTATGACAACAATTAATAGTGTCCCATTAGTTTACCGACATAAAGCGCCACGGAGACGATCAAATGTCTTTATCAACGCTTTAAGTGTATTGGTGTCGTCGGCTTTTGTCGGCTACACGTACACTACACCGACTCGTTGTCGGCTATGCTTGATGAAAATCAAAAAATTTTGATATTTGAATTTGATGGCTGTTTATTTGACCATCTCGCGTTATGCTCCTCTAAATGCGTTTGAAATTGCCATAACGTCAACAGCTTTTTTTTCGGTGTCCCTTTTCAGAATATTCGGAAACGACGATCAGTTTATGTTTGATTGAAAATTTCTTTTCAATTCACAGACGAAATAGTTGGTCACNCATGATTAAAAATTTAAATGATTTCACAGATACACAACTCCGATACATATGTTACTTTGACATCAATCTGTTCAATTAACATACATAGATACTCATTAAGTTGTGATTTTATTTTTGTTTACATACATTTTTGGCTACTAATTTCTGTAAAAGATTTTATTTTTCATTTACAAAGCAGCTTGATTTCATTTTTCATCAACGCCTGAGTGTATGTCATATTTTTTTTAACTTCCTGTAGTGTACTCCTGTTGCCAAACGCACATTTGCCGGAGTGCACTGAACACACCGCATACACTAGCATCAAAACATCCAATTCATTCGGTTGCTGTTTCCTTAATAAAATAATACAATGACTTAAAAGGCAATAACAACAATATTAAACAATAACAATATTAAATTCTACTAAATTTTCTCCAAATATACTGTCAACATTTCATACCAAATAAATTCAATTTTCAAATTAACAGTTTGAATAACACTGTGCATTGAAAAAAGACAAACATGCAACTCTGTTGGAATCTAATCAGAACAATATGTCTATCTCCTTTTAGCAAGCTTTGTTATGCAAAAATGTAAGAAAGAGTCAACCGTACCTAAAATCATTTTGACAACCGCTACGAAATGTGAGATCTGTCTGCATACCAGTGTTGCTTGAAGGAATTGTAAAAATTATTAGTTTTTCTTTTGTAACAAATTTGATGGTAAATAGTGAAAATCAATATTAAACTTTTCGAAATTAACTATAGACGTGGTTTCTTTTAAATAATATATAGCATCTAATGAATAGCACCGCAGCAACCGCATGAAGAAGTTCAGAAAATTTCTGTCCAAGCACCCACGCTATTGCAACCTTTTTCGTCAGTGACAGCAGCGCGCAGTGCAGTTCGCTTTTTTCCATGATGTGTTTGTGTGCTCCAATAAATGGCTAAGCTCGACTGAACAACTGCTCCGTGAAAGTAGAAGCTAAATTTACAATTTTGGTTTTTAGCTTATATATAGCAGTGCACTAGTATAAATTAGATGTGAAATATCTGTGGATTTGTTTGATTTCGCGAAGATATTTGAGTCGCTGCATTTGTGGAATTACGATTTGTCAGACACCATTTCTCGTTCCTGTACGTCATTGAGTGCGCGATTCCTTTTTTTTATTATTACATATCTATTCATTTCTTCATTCGCCCAATAATTTTTTTCTTGCAATCGGCCATAATGGTATGGCCAAATAAGCAGAGTTGAAGAAATTTCCGTGGAAAAAGAAAGCGAGAAGAAACAGCAAAACTACTAATCAACGGACAGAAAAGCAAGTGGACGAATTCCCAGTTCCACTAAAATTCCATGAGGGAAAAACATATTCTGGTTTAAGAAGGAAGAGTCATTCGAGATGTGCAAATAATTTTTAAGTGCAAAGAAAAGTATACAAAACAACAAAAAAAAACACGCCAAAAATTGGCAACAAAGTAGTTGGTTTACAATCGCAGCAATTATCGTCAGCTGCTGTTACGTTTCCCCTCATCTCCGCTAACTCTGCTGCTGTTTAAACAACGTCTGTGGTGTTCTGGATAGTTGGCATTCCGAATTCCGGATGTAAGCGTGATTTTTACCACCAGCAGTAATGTCATTCTGAAGTTCGCCTCCTACTCTCTTTTATAGTGCAGCAAGCACTGTGTTTTATCCAGCCCCTTCACTTCCATTAGTTGGTGAGTAACTTTTATTTTTAATTATAGAAATTGGTATAGATAATACTTGACTTTATTTATTTTTATACACTATATTGTCAGTTCCAATAGAATCCAAAATTAATAACCTACAGCCAACTCTCGGTGGTTGCTGCCCCCATCGCAGTTCAAACATATGAATTGATTTTTCAACCTTAAGATGCATTATTAATGTGAATTTGTTTGTATTAATTGATTGTCGACGTTCGGCTTGCGCTTCTTAGTCGTTTGATTATTGTTGACTCGATTCTGTTTTAAGGACACATTGTTAAAGTTATTTATAACCAGCTATACAAATTGTATAGCACTGATAAGTGCCATGCATGTCTTGGGCATTGAAAACGATATGTTAAGGATATATTGCCAGATAAAATATAACTTTAGGGGTATTCTCTTAGTCTTTACAAAGCTGTCCTATACAAAAACCCGTTTTTACCGTGCAATCTGTGCACCGTGCTAAGGCTTTGTAAGACTCGGAGATTAGCCCTATTCTTTTATCCGCCCATGCCCTTAAAGGGTTAATATGTATATATTAAAAACATTACAATTGAGATTGCTGTTGTCTAAATAATTTTTTTTTACTTATGTTATTAAAACCCTTCATAAATTTTGAGAAAAGCTGAAGATGTTTCTCGATCGGAATATAATGTACATACCGCACGTTTAATGATATACAGAATTATTTCAAAATTTTAAGTTTGTGGGAAAACGCAATCAAAGTTTGATCAATTCATACAGTTGATATACCAAAAGACAGATGTAAAGATTGTAAAGACCCATATCCTCGCTATTATTGGGAAGTTAAGTCTTATCAAGCTTAGTAATTGTATGATGAAATCTCAAAAAATGTAAATTTTGAATTACATCTGTATATTATTAAACGTGCGATACATATGTACATATGTACTTATAATCAGGATAGATCCAGTACTGGAGATGCGAGAATCTCGACGTCATTTACGAAAGCTGTTCGATTGTTGTTTTATTAAAATAGGAAAAAATACTTCATTTTCATCGCTTTCTTGTAACTTTAAACTTAGCTCAGAACCCGATGACAACGCAATGTGAAAGATGGATTATTCTGAAAGGTGGCGCGGGTGTTGAGATATTTGAAAAACCCGTATTTATGGACCGATGTGGTTCATATTTAGAATGTATATTACCTACATAAAAAGGAATAACTAAATAAAAAATTTACTCGATAGGTGGTGCAGGAATCGAGATATTTGGAAAACGGTGTTTATAGTCCGGTTTGTTTTATATTTAGGACTTGTCTTTAAAAAATTGTTTTTAAATTACTAGTTTATTACTTAGTACTCTAAAAACTGATACTCTCGTCGATGCATATGTTTGTATGTACATACATCTGTATATCTATCGTAGTCTTTCTAGTGGACTGTCATATATGTAGGTATCAATATTCGATTAAATGTTTGATGTTTCTAAGTAGATCATTGGAAGAATGGTGTCTAAACCGCTGAAGTATTAGTAGGTTTATGTTGACTGCTCAATTAATATGGAAAACTTTGACACCAAATTCATGAACTCTCTTATGCCACGAATATGAAAAGGTGCATGTATTAAGCCTGTCATTATATTAAGTCAATCAGCGTTTTTATATTTGAATACCTATTATGTATGTATATCAGCATATGTATGCATATACAAATAAGGCTATCTTCCGCTTGTAGTTGCACGCATATGGATATTTGACGTTATCGGATTTGCAAAACCCTCTTGCGACGTTTAGTCCAACGCCACATCACAAAGTTTAACTAGTTATTGACACAAAGACGTAGTGATTTGGGCATTGCTTGAGTGTTTTGACGTATACAAGCTCAGTCATTTAGCCACTTGGTTATTCTAGCCCCTTAGTTGCTCAGCCGCTTATTAGTTACATTGCAATATTTCAAGCTAGTGCGTGTGTGCATTACCATGTAGTATGTAATGTTGTTTGTTGTTGTCCGTCCACTCACTTGAACACCCTTTGAAATGTTGGCTTTGTCACACTCGCTTATGTGCTCTAGCTGCATCTATTGTAGCTTACTACTGTGGCATTGTTTTTATTGTCATTATTGTTGCAATGAGCGACTGTAGTCTATTGTTAATATTTAACAAATATAAGTAGTTTTTGGCTTATGCATATATACATACATATCGCACATGTTCTTCAAAAGGGGCACAACTCAAAAAAAAAATTATGTCAATTTTTTTGCATAAATAAGTTTGTAGGATTTATGTATATCCTAGTAATGCGAATATTTTTTTTTATTTTTATTTAATTTTTATGTTCACTAACTAGAAAAATACGCTATACCTGTTTTGGTATTAATTGCACGATCCACAAGCAGTTATATTTTTGGATCTGATTTTTGAGTTGTGCCTCTTTTGAAGATGGTGTGCGTTATGTATATATGTATCTACATACATAATTGTGGTTGTTGGTGCTAGTTTTCCTTTAGCGGGTTTCAAATTTCCGTTGTACGGTTCCGGTGGCACCTAAAGAAGCGCAATATAGCAACTACCATACGGCAACAAAGACAGCAGCAACTACAAATTAATGTTTTTATCGTCAGCATTTTGCAAACTAACAACTTTATAAAGTTATTTACGCATGGCATATATGCTATTACTATAGTTATGGGAAAAGGTATGAAAAAAGTAGAATGATGTGAATAAAAGGCAGAAATGAAAACATTTCCGCCTACGAGTATGCCCTAAAAATCAACGAATGGAATAGGGGAAACGGCTTGTTGGCTGAGTAAGCTTAACTTTGGAGCCGCTTTACACGCTTTTTGGCAGTTAGAACTTAAATTTTGTTGTTGGCATTTTATGTATTGCCTTTGTCAAGTTTAAAAAAAAAAACTCTTTGGTGGGGCGAATATTTGCACGAAAAAAACTTAAAATAGAAAAAGTAACAACGAGTACTTGAGCTTGCTGCCAAACACGTAAGCACATGTAGACTTGCCCAAATATACAAGTAAATATGTATGCATATGAAGTATACTAGTATGTAAAAATGCACATGTGAAAAACTGAACATGTACATAAGTACGTATGTAAGTATCTACATATGAATGCATATTCATATTTGTTATTTTTACATTTACAATGCGCCATAAGTTCCATACGCGTAGTTGCACAAACCGCTAATGCCACCACTTCACCGCCACAAGCGCCTCTATAGCCACTTCCACTGCTGCAAGAAGCTGTGTACGGATTGAAGGTAAGTGCATGCATATATACATTGCTCATATGCAAGTATTTGCAACAAATATACATACGTTTGGTCGTATGTACATATATATATATATGTACGTACAAGCACTCAAAATACTTACACAGGTATGCCATAATCACCAGCTCATCGGCAAGTGGCCTATAGCAGCAGCACTACAAACATAGCAGCGGCTAACCCAAAATACAACCATGCGCTTCATGTCTTCCACATTACTTGAAGTAGTATGAGTGGCGGCCGCCCGAGAACAGGCAATGGCCCCAATAGAACAACTGACAGTATTACGGCAATATTGTTATTAGAAACCTCAACAACGTGGACGACAACAACGCCGCTTGCGGAACCGCGACGTATCGCTCTAGCGTGTTGCACCTTTGTTGCAACTGCATTAATATCTGCATATGCGGTAATACCACTGCGCTTGACTGCGTTAAGCAGGCAGAAGTCAGCTAGACAGCAAGCAACCGATTCAAACTGTATGCATAGCCAGCCAACTAGTCAAGCAGCTAAAGATGAAGACGAATACGTAGCCAGCCAGCCCACTAGGTATTCTTGATCTTCTGCAGTACATACACTTTTTATTTCTTATTTACTTTTTATTTTGCCTTTCTATACAAAAAAACACAGTCGGGCACCTTTGTTCCGAATTACCCTTCTTCCACGCATCTACTTAGTTACTTCAGTGCTTGGTCGTTTGGTTGGCTGGTAGCTGACAACAGCACAAGTGCTCGGCTGCCGCGCATTCATTCTGCAAGTGTTTGCAATCTTGCCTCTTTTGTTTGGTAACTACGCTTGTGACTTGGGCTCATCTTCGGTGTTGCCGTCGTCGTTTTGTGCTACAATGTTATCTATTTCTTCCATTCGCTTGTGTTTCTTGCGAATTCCGTGCACGTGTGCATATTTTGCAAGCATATTAGATGGTTAATACGAGCTAACAACGCGCGAATGCGCCTATCATTAAGGGGAATGAAGGGGTAATTTATGTGATTTTGATGTTTGGCGTTTCCAGCTTATTTATAATGAACGTAAGCATGAATCTATTATGTACATACATATATACATGTGTAAATATTCTTGCAATGTGGAATGGTTTTATGAATTGAGCATTTCCACATATTTGGCATAACCGCATAGGCCTAAAACTTAAATTATTATTTACCGGTTTTCATTTGTCGGAATAATTTTTGTTGTGTACATTATCGTCTATATAATTACGGACACTACTTCCCTACAAGTTGTTGCCATTTATTTTTTGATTTATTTTGACAAGGGATGACTGAAATTCGTTCCGAAGTAAATCATTTTACCTATGGTAGAAAAAAGAAGGTGGTTTAATTTAATGACATTAGCAGCCATCTTAGCCATTTGACTTTTGCTATGATTATGACCTTTTCATCAAAATCAAGCTACCAGATTAAAAATTATAATGAAATTTTTTTCTGAAAAGAAGTTTTTCGACAAAGGAAAAAATATAATATTTTTTTTTTAAATATTCAACAATTTTTATTGAGCTTGAGGCCTTTTGAATGAGAAACTTATTGTGGAAAAGCAACAATAATTTGAAAAAATGGTAGAAGTGATAGCTATTTCGGAAATCACCAAATTTCCTCATCACACTTTTTTCAGTAGATTCTAACCGACGATCCCATTGCCTCAGTCAGTTGCCTACGCACCGTGCTAATTTCGCCTTGTGAATTATTGTTGCTTTTTTATTGTTGCCAGTTTTTAAAATTTCGCAAAAACC